GGCTCATCCCGCGGGACGCGGGCAGCGCCGCGGGCGCCGCGCGGGAAGGACACGGGCGCAGGGACCTTCCCGAGGGGACAGCGCAGGGAGCCCGGCTCCACAGGGCTCTTCCCGCTCCGGTCCCACTTCCCACCCTGCACCCAGGGGGGGAATTTCCTTCCTCCCCAATCCAAAGACTCCCTGTGGAGCTTCCAAGAGCCCCATCCTGAACCATGCTGAGTGCCAGGCCCTCCTCTCCCTTGGCTGAGCTCAGGCCAAGGCAATTAACACTTTTGACTGGGGAGGGGAAAGAAAAGGCAGAAGAAAAACCCAACCAGCTCATTCGGCTTTTGTGATTCCTCCCCTCCCGCCCTCCTCCAGAAGAACAATCCCAGGAATCTATTATGGAGAGGGAGGCGGGCGGGTGAATTGCAAGCTAATTTTACCTCCTTCGCCGATGACAGTTGCTGACGCGCAAATTAATGAAAATAAGAATTCAACATGGGATGAAATCTCGGCAACCGCCTGCCCACGCGGAAGCCGGTGACCCAGTGCCGCGTCTGTTTGAGCAGCTCCATCCTACCTTCCCATTACCAGCTCAACAGCTAAAAATAAAAATCAATCAAAGCGGGGCCGCGAGGCGCCGCGCGTGCGCGTGTTCGTCCTTGCCACCTCTGCCGTTTCTTAATGGCCCCGTCCAGCTCATTCAGGTACAAGGAGAGAAGTGGTTTCGGAATGGAGCCGAGCGGAGCTTCCCGGTGCGGCGCTCGCCCGGCAAACGGGCCGGGTCTGCAGCTCCAAAGGCACCTTTGCGAGCGCTGGGTGGTACCCCGAGGCTCCGGGATTGCTTTTATTGTCCCTCTCTGACTGCTAAAGGAGGGAAAGGTCACCAAGGCAGGGGACATGCATGGGACGGGGCCCTTGGTGGGGCGCCCAAGGGAGCCCCGTGTCCGAGATGCTCAATGCAGATCCAGGGCCACGGAACATTTCAGGCACTCTCTGGAGCTGCATAAATCTTTAAATAACGCTTCAAAAATAAAAGCTCATTCCGCAAGCCCCTTCGTTC